AAAAAAAAATCAAAAATTTTTCTAGCCTAGTCAATTTTTACCCTAGAGTATTTCATAGTCGCCCCCGCCTCTTGTCGCACATTTTCACATGTTTCGTCTGCTCATTTCGGTTGCCGACTGTCGTGCGTAAATTATAATGCTCGCATATATGCATGTATATATGCACATACATACATATATTTATTTACAAAATGGACTTAAGCATTACTTAAATCATATATACATACATAGTATATTTGTATTTCGCTGTAATCCTATTGTTATACTATGTACTAGCATATGTGATAGTTCTGTATCAAAGCTAGCGACCTTCTTTATTATCATGTGCATTTACTAACTAACATATTGTTATTTAAAGTTGATAATTAAAAGGCAGCATTTGCATAGTTGAAGACTTTGGTCTTTTTTTTTTATAAGTTAAGCCCCTTAGAGAAGTTCTTGTAGACAGATTTGATCTATATATTCTTTATTTATTTATGTATAAAGCAGCATAGAATGTTTGCTCTAGCAATTGTGCGTAGAGTTCAGGGTATTTCATAGTCGTGCATTCCCTACTAGAGGTCTGTTACATGCTCTGTTGAAAGCAAAAATTAGCTTAACTAGTTTTAAGCCGAGTCTCGTTTTCAATCTATAGACTTATATGTTAATTAAACACGTGCTTTAACATCGGAATTCATAAATATAAATGAATATTTCATAGGGTTTGTAAAGCCTACTAACTGGTTGAGTTAAAATGGAACTAATCTATTTATTATATCTATTATAATGAATATAAGTATTACTAGTAACGAACTATTTTCATAGGCGCATTATATTTGTATTACATTATCCAACTAATATTTAACAAATGTACATTAGTAAAATGACAAACCAAATTTACATTAAGATTTACTCTTGCATCGAATGAACCTTAATTTCAGTTAGTCTAACTAACTAATTAGTGTCAAACAGAGAAAGAACAATAGCTAGACACATGTAGAATTTTTTAATTATGCTCAACAACTCTGATTAGTTTTATGAACTTTCAGTGATAAACCTAATATGCCTGATAAGTGTAAAAAAAATTTTATATGCCGAGTTATTAAATGTTTTAATTACTAGAGCTAATCGGGCATTATACAACCACTTATGAATGTGAGTTGGTATTCGTGTTTGTTTGATACCAATTAAAAGTGGTTTGATGCTGACCTACGCCAGTTTTACTTGGGTATTGTGATGTCTCATTGTGAGAGACGAACTGACATATGATACCGAAACTCAAAACTAGGCCAATATCATATAGTTCTAAGCATAGTCATTTTACGACATATTCGTATTTACATTGCCAATCAGAGAGTTTAATTTGGGATACAAAAAGTAAGTAAATCGGTTTACACGGTCGCTTTGAAGGAAACACAATTTCTCAAGTCATCGTTGATTCTCAATAAATATCAATTGATATTGTTATAATTGTTATTATGCAGAAATAGAAATAAAATCGATTTCCATTGTTTGTGCTAAACAATTGGAAACTAATTGAATCAATTGTTAGCTAATTCGATTTCGATACAATTTCAGATCTGAGATATGAAACGAACGGAAAGCTCTAGAATATTAAATGATTTTTTATTTGAAAAAAGAAAGTCATTTAAAAAATGGTATTCTGCAGAAATAAAAGTATTTAATGGAAATTATATATATTAATAATATGTCATAGTAGAACGCCTCTAAATGAAATTTTCATATGATAAATC